CGTGCGTACGCACGGTTTAATAAATCTGAATTTTTATTTTATTTTCTTTTTTTTGGCGTACGCCATTTCCGACTTTTTGCCGTGCGTTCACTTTTAGTATTGTTTCCATGCAATCTTTTATAAATCTGACCCCTGAAACGCCCCTGGGACTTGTCTTTAAGCCGAACTTCCTCATGGCAGAGTGCACCCCATCTCCCCTCCCCACACACCCCGCCCATGACTCCTGCAGGCTCTCGGGTGAAAGTGAAAGTGAAACCTAACTATCTGCTGAGCTCTCAACATCAGTTCTCACTCAGTGAAGCTCTTTTCAGATKAAAAATTCCTTTGAGGAAATGTATTTTCAGATGCCAAGTAAAMTGCATCGTGGCAGCCCCCCTCCCCCAGCGATCGTAAAGAGACAGAGGCCAATTTGAAGGCGTTTAGAAGAGGAAGTGATGAGAAGATATGCTTCTTTTCTGTTTAAACATAAAAACAGCATTTTAATAACAGCTAAAGATGACATAGATACTTTATAATGGTATAGTATTTAAATGTGTGCCTGAGAAACATATAATATTGGCCCTTTAATAAGACTTAAGATTTTTTTCTTTTCTGCTGCCTTTCATTTTATTTCTGACTTGTATTATTTGTTGTGTATATTATTTGTTTTGATTTTAAATAAAAATGAATAAATTTACAAAGTTGTTTTTAAGTTCAAACTAAGAAAAACGTGTCTCCAATATCATCAGCACCGTCTCAAAACTACACAAGCACATTCATATCACTACTCTTTCCCTATTCTTCTCCATACACTTTCCTTTCCTTTTTTCATTCTGTTCATTTTATTCTATGATCAAGAGAGATTAAAAGTATATTCAAATCAAATTGACACTTATTTATGGTCATCACAAACACACACATATTTTTTTCTTTATTCAACTTAAAGAAAGCTTCATAAACGAGTCACCTCATTATAAACTAGTTCACACTTATTGTCCACTTGACGGCGCAGTAGAGCAAATGAAGCATGATGATGCTTCCGACTCCTGTGGACCAGTTGGATGAAAGCTTCTGTGCATCATGAAGCTTCATCTCACCATCACTACTGACAAGGCAGCAAAACTTACAAGACAAGGGAGGCACACAGGAGGACAGGGGACCGAGACGATGGACTGAAGCCATGGAAGGAACCAGCAAGGAAACAGTGACAAGAGGCCAGTATACCTGTAAATACACAGCAGGAATGAGAATGATGAACTACAGCTGAGAAAGGACTGATTACAAACAACAGACAGGTAAGAAGGAATGATCTAGAGCAGTGTTTCCCAAAGTTGGGGTCGGGACCGAAAGTGGGGTCCCGAAACATCAATGTGGGGTCCTGAAAAGATTTTCTGAATTAATTACATTTTTGCCTTAGTTGTTACAAATGAGTGAGGTTAGTATATTTAGAATGGATAAATGTAGTATAAAAATATTGTTACTATGCCCATGTTTTGTTGACCTGATACAAATGTTTATCATCCAAAAATATCTGGGGGCTCAGGTCTCT